CCTGCTTCAATGCATGCTAAATAAAAATGTGTTAACAAAATCTGTTTTACAGAATACCTCAGTCCTGGAATAATTTGTACAAACAACTTAAAGCCTCTGTGGAAGAGCAAAACAAAGTGGTTTCGATACGTTTCTATAATTGAAACTTCTCAATAAAATTGGGTTAACATTAATTTCCTTTTTTTTTTTTAGTTTAAATAAGCTTGATATACACACTTTAAAATTTAGCAATTTTTGAAAACAAAGTCATCTTGCTTTGGTTACAAGCCTTCAAAAAGATATCCAGGTTCTCTACTTTAACTTCAGCGGGTAACTGTGTTCGACTGTTCTCAGACAAATGCCTCAATGTCTTCAACCAAAAAGGACTCACTGCTCTGAGGAACTGAAGCAGAACCACAGAACGTGAATCTGCAGCAGTGACCCACAGAGCCAGACTGAGTCCTGTTCCGACTCGTCATCGTATCTTCACTGAACGGTCAAACACAAGAATCTATACAACAGATGCCACTTTCTGTTGTGAACTTTACTTAACATCACTGAATCAATTCTGCAGAAACATGTCACTCTTGCAGCTTTTGATGACTCTTTTTCCATCACCATGTATATTATATTATATTATGCAGTCTGAACACTCACCTTGTGGCCAGGATGATAATCTCAGTCCTGGTTGGGGTCACACGGACCTCCACACCTGAGTAGCCATCCTCAGCAAGTTCGCGAGTCAGGAACTCGTTCAGCTCGGCCTTGAAGATACCGTCTGAGACGAACTAAGGAGAGAGGACAGTGACAGCTCACCTACAATGAAACTCCATCATCCAGAAGACAAAATGTGGGACTTATCAAGAGAACGCCTGTCCTTAATCAGGAATGAATGAGTTACAGAGGTGCTTAGGACATCACTCTTAAAAAGAGAAACATCAACCTAAATGCCCGTCATGTCTTTTTTTTTTTTTTTTTTAATTCTTGTAAGCTTGTTCTGACTTTGATCCAGTCGAGGCCATATTTAAAAATAAAAAATAAAAAATAAAAATTCGGGGAAAAAATCTCCAGACAGTGAATACAAGAATGCAATGACAGCGATATTGTACAAATATACAGACACACTAACATTCCCAAATAGAAGCCCAGTAACTGGGCTGTGATTGACACACTTTTTTTTATGTAAGCTGAGTAGTTTATTGAATCCTACCTGTGACACATTATGATATTAGTGTTATTGTATTGTATGTAGCATTGTTATTCAATATTATGATACACTGTTATGTATATCATATATCCCTTAGATGACCTAAAATACTGGAACCACATGTCAAATCTGTTGCAAGGTGTAACTTTAATAACGTTACACCCAATACGATGCTGTCAGGTCGTTTGCAGTCATTTGAAATTCACTACTGTCATTTGCAGTAATTAGACACTGACAAAACGTTACCTATTTATTAATAATAAATATTACATTATTATTGATTGATCAAACGTACCGTGCTAATACCTGCCGGTTTATCTACAGCGGCTATGCGACTTTCTTTGGTCCCCGTTCATTTGGCAGTGAAGCTAACCAGCTAACTAAACCACATTAGGAGATCTGAGAAACAAACACTGCGTTTAAGCAGAAATATTGCACAACTTTTAAAGTCTGGTACGATTGTTCTGAACACAACCCGACTGAGTTATATATTCGTAAGGGACTCGTGTCTAAGGAAACCGGTTATTAGCTCATCCCCGGCCACAGAGAACACAGCCATGATAGCTGTTTAGCCAAATGAGGAGGAAGCAGCGCCGGCAGCATCTGGATTAATCCTCTTCGGACCGGGGGTGGACAAGCTCGACCAACACTGGAGTGAAGACGAAACGTCTGTATCCTACACAATATGACACAATTTTTGTGTGAAGCGGCCGTCTGTATAAGTAAAACGTGGATAAATAGTGCTAACCTTCCTCTTCTTGGAGATTTGCACCGCCATCTTCCAAAAGGCCGTAGACAGGAAAGGACCCTGAGAGGATGCGGAAATGCTTTTATACCAAGACGATTAACTTCCGGTGACGCCAGATTTTTTTTCTCCCAATGTTACTAAACTTTATTTTCAGCTGAAACACATTTGAACAGAATAAAACACATACGAATGAAGCATCGCGAGAACGACAAAACAGTGCGAAACAGAAGAGGACAACAAAAGTAAAACAGATGTTACATAAATTAAAATAAAGTCGCGAGTGGATGTTGCAGAAGGTTCACTTGAGAACTGTTAAGATATTGCATACATTTATCATTTAGAAACTTTTTTGTTTTGTGAGGATGACATATATTGACAAATACTGGTCCATCTCTTTCATAAATACAAAAATTTATGGAAGAGTTTGTAAATTTACATGTAGGCTATAGGCTAAATGTGAAATTTGGCCAGTGAAATTAGATTAATAAAGAAAAAAGCATTATTATCTTTGTTACAGTAATCATAGCACCCAAATACATTTTTATAGCTAAAACCAAAATCTGAGATAATGTTGTCAGCTGTAAATTTAGCATTAGCAATATCCTTCCACGATGCGTATGTAGAAGTACAGAACCAAAATAAATGAGAGCATGTCTCAGGATATAATTTACAAAAAGAGCAATTAACATCAGTGTCACCCTTTAACTTCTTTATGAAGTGTTTTGATGGATAAATATGTGGATCAATTTAAATGACACTTTCTGTACCTGATTTGGAGGAGAGGGGTTGATATTTTTAAATAGCATACCAAATGGGGTAGCGTCAAATCAAAAATTATTTTGGGGTTATTGGTATATTGTATCTGGGAGAAATTCTAAATAGTTGTATAGAAGCCCTTCTTTATTAACCAACAGACTTACTAGCGTGGTACCATTGATAAAATAATGACTTGTTCTTATATAAAATACTGTAGTTGTTCCAAATAGCCTATAACATCACTGTGAAGAGAAATTGTGCTTGTAAATGATTGCCCAAGCCAGAAGAACCTGTTGATGAAAAATGAAAAGTTTAAGAGGGTTTTTTGTGTACTGTAGTTACAGAGAAGAATTAATGTCAAGGTTTTTATTTATTTATTTATTTATTTATTCGTTTTAGGTTTTTTAAATAACAACACAGAAAATGGCCGGTGGTAAGGCAGGAAAAGACAGGTTTTGTTTTTTTCAAATGACACTGAACACAGATTGCAGTATCAATATAATTGAAAAAAAAAACAACTACAAAACAGAAATAAGTAATAATGAAAAACAATAAATAAATAAAAGTGGTCATTCAGGAATTAAGGTACACATATATTCATAAAGACATAGGGCCTTTCCAGTTTTACAGCATTTTACATATTTTGTAATAGAATTCTCTCATTTAGAAATGCAGAAATATGGAGCTAGTTTAAAAAATTGTGAATAATGTATTTTGCCAAAATAATTAAATTATGAATCCCAAACTCTGCATTTTTGTCGTCCAATTGCACACCATTTTAATCATCATAAGTCAACCAATATTGGAAAAAGTCCCCAAAGGTCCGAGCTAAATTGAAAGAGAAAAAAAAGATGTTCTGAGGTTCCAATGTCAGAGTTACATGTGTAAATGTCACTGATTATTTTAAAGTGAACTTCTTCAGTCTTGGCTGGAATTGGAAAAGAGAGGTATGTGGTTCTATTTTAACTGTCAAATAACTGCAGTATTCTTGGAGCATATGTCTCTGAGTGATGGGAAACAAAGTGAAGGACAAACATTTCTTAAAGATTTATGATTGTGTTTTTATCTAAAAAAAAAAAAAAAAAGCTACTGCAGTTGCTACACCAGCATCTGTACAGAAAGGTATAGACTATTACAGGACTGCACACCCAACATTTGAGTTAGATATCAACTCTACGTGGGTGGTTATTTTTCTGTACACCCATCAGTGTCTGATTCAGACCATTTTTGCTCAAATTTTAATGCAAGTCTGACACTGTAGCTACACAATGAGAAGACATTCACAGCTTTGCCATTCAAAGTCTTGAGGAATTTTCTAGCTCTGCTTATGTTCTTATACTTGGCGTTGGTTTATTTAGTTGGTTTTGAAGATATTATCACAAACAAAGAGAGCATTATTGGATTTTCAAGATAAACACATGAATAAACCAAAATGCAATGGTTTTGAGGGGCTGGATGCAATTTTTAGCTTTACCTTTGATGATGTCATGTTGCAAATGCCTCCTCACTAACACTGAACAGTTTAAATCTTAAATGAGAACTAAAATGGTTTGCTAAATCTGACACCGCCTGGAAAAGAGCAGTAACTGCCATAGTATGTGTTAGATGACTTTTAAAGCATATTTGCCCTGATTTTATCATAGCTGAGATGAGCTGTTCTTCAGTCAGTGTGACTGTATCCCGCACCAGTGTCTGTATGGGCTGACCTCGGGCTGAGCCTAAACAGACAAAAGAAATCTATAAAATAAAACAAGGCTGGATTTTGCATTTAGGGGGAAGAGAATAGCAACAGAGCCTATACACATAGCTTACAGAGCCACTCAATGCACTACATCGTTAAACTGTGCAGGCTGATGATACAGTTTATGGGGGTAGGGGGTATTTTGGTTCTCAGTGAAATTAATCAATAAGCAGAATCACTATATAAAGCCTGCGGGCGTTAGGTGACCGTTACGCAAAAACTCTTGCATGAAAAAACTAACAATTGCCCAGATACAGGTGACCGAGAGTTAAGGTGTTCTTAAACATTTCCTCCACTGAAATTTCAGACAGCAAACAATCACCCTCAAACAGAACAGCAAAGAAGGCTCGAAGAGGCCTACAGAACAGAGCTTGCAACTGTAAATGACTGCTAACATGAGGTGTGCATTAGACTGATGAAGGATCAGAGTGACTTGGGTGTGCATTCTCACCTCTCTCAATCCCTCAGAAAGGGTGCCGTCACAACCCGATTGATCCAGAGGAGAAATGTGTGCGCCAAGCTGCTCTCAATTTTTACTGAGGAGTCAGAACGCACACCCTGCACAACAGCTGATCTAAATAACCCTACAATCAACTCAGGGGAGCTGTGACATTCACCTGAAATGAAAGGAAAATGACAGCAAGTAAGAATGAGGGACTGCTTTAAGTTTAAAACTTTGTTGGTTCTTGTTAGGGGTGTGTGCACTGTGACTGTGTGTGCTACTGGCTTTGCTGCTAAAGAGAGTCTGTGGCCGTGCGGCAGCTTGTGCTTCAGCGTGGTGATGTTGTATGTTACTGTACTACTGTACTACTGGCCTAGCTGGTAAGAAGAGTCTGCAGCTGTGAGGTAGCTCATATTTTGGCTTAGTGTTTAGTTTTTTTTGTTATCCACCACTCTCGCTTGTCATCGCTCTCATAATTCACAGCAAAACCAAAGTGGCTCCAAACACCAGACCTGTAGGTTATTGTAGGAACTTCTATCTTTAGCCTGATAACCGTGTCACTAACCATCTTGCAACGAGCTAGCTTAGCATAGCTGCCTCCCAATATGTCTCACTGTGGTGGTTTTGGTTTGGGGGTGGGAGGGTCAGACAGCATGTTGCCTGTTCTGTCATGTGGCCTGCCTTGTTGACTGCAGTGGCACTGAGAACATTGTATGAAACACAGTTTAAGCTGTAGCCTACATTTTATTTTCAAAATGTAATGATAGTTCAACATATCGGTTTGCAGTGTGTCTGAACCTAAAGCCTCAAACCGAATGGTTCAATACGAATACGTTTATTGTTACACCCCTACTTCTTGTGTTTATAGTTTCAAATTTTGGTTACCAAATGAAGGCATTTTTGAAAGATCCCTGGCTCTGATCTATGTGTGACTCTACCCCCTGAACCCCAGAAGGTGGCGATGGTGAGCTTGTGAACTTGTGGTTGGAACCATGGCTGCATCAGCATTTGAGCAAGGGATGGATGGAGGACAAGTTTGGACACTGTCTTCACACTTACTTGCGGTGGAATCCCCTGGGACGACCATTCTTCTCTGTGTTGTTTCAAGCTTAGTAAAGGTCGTCCTGACTCAGCACGCAGAGAAGATTGGTACTGGTCAATCTGACACAGCATCTGTACTAAAACTGGAACTACACAGAGAAGATCAGTGTCTGTGGTATTTTGTTCATTTTAAGATGCACTGAAATTGGTGTTGAAATTTCCTGTTAATGATGATCACTTTTGTTTAAGCTGCCTTGCCTTCATCGTGTTAATGGTTATCTGTGCATCTCAGAAACCGTTAAATAGAAGACAAAGAAAGAAGATGAAACTGATGAAACTAGGGATCTGTCTTCATCAGTGTTTCAGAATTCACCAATAAAAGATTTAAATGACTTTCTTGGCACCCTTTTTAAGAAATTGCTCAGTCTCCTCATTTTCTGCAGCTGTCAAACATGAAATACCCTGATGACCAAAAAGCAATTTGGCCGCGAGCCTCACATGTGATGATCCTGACAGACACCTTCTCTGCTAAAGGCAATGTGATACTTTTTTTATGTTGGGTGTGGTTGGTTTTCCATCTAAAAGACACCGAACATGTGTTTATCATAGCTTAGTAGTGTTTTCTGGGTCAGGATAATTAAGAAAGAATGAGAGAACAAGTCTAGTTAACCAAAGAAACCTGAGTCATGGTTTCAGGGGTTAGGCCAATCATTTTGAAAAGAGATAAACTGTAATTAAAAAATTCTGACCTTCTTTTCTTATTTGAATGGAAAGAGTAAAAACACTAATTAGCTGCAGTTAACAGGTAAATATTTTTTAAACAATGGGTCTTTGACAGAGCTAGCTAATTACACAAGGCCACACTTTCTGCGTGAGCATTGAGGAATCTGCAGTGTTTGTTGTTGGCACCCATGTTAACAGGTCAGTGCAGCCACAGAGGCCAAACTTTTACACCTATACCTTATATCACAGGTGGAAGCAATAAAGTTGGATGAATTATCGAGGCATGTTATTTGCCAGTGCACACCAGGAATTTTAAGAATTACACTGATTGAGGTAGATACAATAAGTGAAGATCAAATTTTCAAACTCACCTATTATTAAAGTATTAGTATTATTATTAGTTAAAGTATTAAAGTATTAAGTATAACTGACATGATAATGATTACTATATTTTCATTAGGAGTACTGCTCTTACTGTATGTAATATACATACTAAAATGTTGTGGATGATTCAGGTTGTAACCCTGTTGTGTCTATAAAAAATCCTCTGCATAAATGTTATTACCAGACTAATTAAGCACTGGCTTACCTTTGGTAGACATCACCGCCTGGGGTCAATCCAAAAACCCTTCCGTCAGTCCCCACTTCAACCATGCTCATGCGTTGCCCTGCCACTTGTGTCCAGCCGGAGGCGCCACAGTTTACAGAGTTTAGTGTCTGTCGTCAGAGGAATACATGGAGTCGTCATGATCAATGAGCAAGTGTGCTTTATGTGACCTAATAGTAACACTAACACCACCAAGAGTTAAAGACATGAGAGGTCAGAAGTGTTTCAGCGACCAACCCGTGTGAAGTAGACGCGGTTACTTGTGTCCACTCCCCAGCATCCGTTCTTTGGGCTGCAGGTGTAGTACTTCAGCCTTCTTGACAGATAGTTCCACCCCAGGGAGCCCACTCCACTGTAGGTCAAAGCTGAGCTACATCTCAGACAGTAGGCTTGGTTGGAGGTAGTAACTCCCACAAGTTGATCATCACCTCCAGCATCCACCTGCTTCATAGACGTACCTGAAGACACAGAGAGGTACAGGTCATTTAGTCAGCAAACACTTGCTACTGTTTAGCCTTTTTATACACTGTGTGCCCTGTAAAGGCAGAAAATGTGTGTTGCAATGTACTGTACTGTACTGTATCAGTGCTATGATATTAAACTGTAAACTTAACAAAGGAGTAGCCTAATGATCACTAGGCAAACCGATATGGACTTTATTTATTCATGTGGAAGAAATAATAACGATAGTTACCACGGGATTGTACAAAGTTGCCAGCAACGTATTTGTAGACGATGTTCGATGTGCTACTTCCCCAAAGTCCTGCAGGTCCCACTGAGAGATGTCTGAATCTGACTGAGCTCAGTCGCTGCCAAGATGATCCAATCAGGAAATATGGATAATTGTTCCTGTCTAGTGCGACTACTTTTCCCTGTCCAGCGTCAAGCTGTCGAGCATTATACAGCCGCGGACCCTCATCGCAGTTCCAGCCTGTGAAGACAAAATCATTAGAGGGAATTGGAATCATGGAGCATTCTGGGGCAGCACAACCATCTTTGGAGAATAGTGTACATAGCTACATTAGCTGCCATTGTCTGTCACCGGTTATTTGTCACCTGTCAATCTTTCATCACAAAAAACATATAAAGTATGTGTGAAAGACAAATGTCCACATAAAGAGACTGAATGGAGGAAAAGGAACAATATACCGAAGTTGGTTAATGATAGTCATCCTTACAAATAAGGAGATAAAAAATGGTCATAGGACTTTGATAGCTTGCCACTCATTTCAGTTTGTGAAGTTAGTATAGAGGTTTTCTTTTTTCAGACAAAGTGATTAAAACCTCTATACTATTTAACTGAGTAGACAAAATGAACCTAATTGAGTTAGTTTGTGAAGTTGGTGCTTATCTGGTGTTTGGCATTAGTGCCTACACCATTCAGCATTTCAAAAACTTAAAAACTTTTGAGGCCAATGTCCAATTTACAAACGGTCACATACAGGAAATTCAGATTTACAAACCAAATCAATTACACAATGATCCAGACAAAAACAAGCAAGTTAATGTCGTGCTATATAAATACTAACAAGACATTATCTAGCTCAGCTGTTCTTTTAGACACTTATGTAAACAGTCAGTGGATTGCACTCATACCTGTTTGTTGCACAATTGGCCGCACAGCTGGCCGCGCAGCTGGCCGTGCAGCTGGCCATGTAGGTCTTCCTCTTGTCAATCCTGGTGTCACAGTCCCTATTAAAATAAGGGAGAAAGACATATCCTTTAAAATAATTAAGTCTGGTCTTATTTCCATTAAACTGCTTCAACAATTAACTTAAGCTGTTCTTTAGACAATTATTGTGAACAGCCAGTGGATTGCCCTCTTACCTATATTTGGCCTGATTTGCATCTGAGCTCCATTACCTATCAATGGGAGTGAGAAATACATATCCATTAAATTTATAAAAAGTCTGAATTTATTTCACATTAAACTGCTTCAACAATTAATTTTGTAATAAAAATGTAATAAGACAGTGACTTACCATGACTAACGGCCAAGTGACACAGCACCAGCAAGATGGCTGCAATAGCTTTCATGTTGTCTCTGTTTGGGAGTCTGTAGTCTGCAGTGCACTTCTGGATGTATGTCTGTATCTGTGGGGTGCTGCTGACCTGCATCCCATCTGGTCTGTCTGGCTTTTATACTCTAGATCCATGGGTCTGACCAATGTGCTTAATTACAGCCAGAGCTGGTTGTGCAGGCTGTTCGGGGAAGCTGGGTGGCAATTTTTTAATTAACTGTATTTACTGTTACCTACGTTTCAAATATGCACCCGGTATGATAGCTTTCTTTCAGGTCATTATGACCAAGGAAAAAAAAGAAGGGTGTTGACCCCGGACATGCAGAGCACAAATGAGATGGGAGGATGCATTTGTTTTTTGTGCTAGTTACAACATTAACTTGTGAAGCCATCGCAAATCAAGTCAGGAAGTCAAACTGTCGACCCAAACCCAGGGAATAAGCAAAATGTTAAATGATATCATAACTAATAACCTAACTAATCTAATATCAAGCAGGCGTATGTTATTTTTAAAATGTACACAAGTGACATTGTTGGAAGAATCACTATCTCCCTTTACTGGAGTAAAAGTAGCAATACTACAATGAAAAAATACTCTATTACAAGTCAAGATCTTGCATTCCAAACCCTACAAAGTAAATAAATAAAATGTACTTAATGTACATTTTACTTTATTTACAGTGTTTACTTACATTAAATCTTTGCTAAATTTGACTTACCTGGGCCTCAAACAGATATTCTGGCTACAGCCAATAGATAGTTAGCTTAGTTTAGTTGAGCTTAACTAAGGTGGCAAACAGGTGACCGGGTTCTGTCCAAAGATAAGCAAATCCACATACCAGCAGTGCTAAAGCTGACTGTTTAGAAGGTTAGAGGGTTTGTTTAATCTGTATGAAAACCAAAGTGTAAAAAAAATGTTAAGTTTTGTTTTTGTCGGGGGTTCTGCCAGACTATGGGTGCTTTTGTAATTGCAATCTGATCCTCTACACTAAACCAAAGCACCGTTGTTTGAAGAAATGAAAGACTGAATTAACGAACCATTAAGCTAATCACACATTCACTCCACCTGGCACTCTGCTGCTCTGTCCAAGAGTATTTCCAAATTCATCCCATTTCTTGGCCTGGAGCACTAACTTTCTGGAGTCTTGTCCTCATGAAGTTTCAAGACAGCTAGCAGAGACTTAAACAAACAATATATAATGTCAAAAAGTGATTTTAGAAGTTTGGGCAGGCGGATTTTGTTACTTTTAGGCAGAGCAAGGCTAGCTGTTTCCCCGTTTCCAGTCTTTGTGCTAAGCTGAGCTAACCAGCCACTAGCTCCAACTACAGGCTACAGTATTTGGCATGCACATGAGAGTAGTATCAATCTTTTCATCTAAAACTCTTCAAGAATTTGAATAAATGTATTGTCCAAAATGTCAGCAAAACTTCTCTTTAAAAACATTAGCTTCAGATATACATTAAAGAAATCTGCTGCTAAACATTTTTTTTGATAAAGATATATTTTCTTCCATTTTTGTGGTGACAAACGCTTACAACCTGTGGTGGTTTTAACTTTTTGATATTTCATTTGGAATCCCCTCAAAGAAACAAAAAAAGGGCTTCTGCTAATGCCTCCTTGGGTAGGAAATAACCAGTGGGGGTAACTGGCAGACTCACACCTTTTCTAGTGAGTGCAGTGTGATGCTTTGTTTACGCTGGGTGTGGGTGGTTTCCACCCAAAGACAAAGAACATGCATTTACCATAGTTTAGTTATGCTCAATGTTTAATCAGGATAATTAATAATGAAAGGAAGAACATGTCTAGCTAACCAATTAAAGCACTTGCCCTAGAACAAGAACGCTTAGGTATATGTTCAGGGGTTTGGCCAACAATTTTTAAAGAGGATACTGTAATTATACACAAATTAAAAAGTAGTTACACATTCCATTTTATTTAAAGACTGTCTTTTTGTTCAGCTGTTCCTGATAAATGTCAAAGAAAGTATAAAAGAAGGAAAGGTCATGAAGTCAGTGACAGCATTCAAATTCTACATTGGTGCCACTTATATTGAAGTTAATGGGGCGGACACAGCAAATTACACCTTAACTGTCTGTCATTACAGGAGGGGAATGGGATCACCATCTCCTTTTTTTATGACCAGTCATTTTAACAGGTTATGATTACCTTGCAGAATCATCAGTAACTCGCTAACGTTTGACATATTGGCTGGTGTGTATTTCCTCAGATATCTCACAAACTCAACATATTTTCACTTTGCGAATACATGCCACTATAATCTGTAATGGTTCAGTATCCACACTTGTATTCAAAGCTTGGCTTAAAACAGGCTGTTCTCTGTTCATACGTAAACCTAAAAAATGTAATGAAAAAATTCAGACGTATCCAAGGAATAATGAGCCATTATTTAATCTATATCCCATCTTTGGGAAGGCTGCAATCATATGACAAGTGTACTGACAGGAGTAAAGAAGGAAATAGATGGATCACAAAACACAGAACATTCTCCCAGGTCTTTCCATGAGTAGACCGGTGTTAAGAACTGTGTGAAACACAAGTGAACTTTGAGTCATTTTAAGGTAGATGGTCAGCAAATTTTCTAAACCTAACCACTGTAACTTTACTTGCCTAAGCCTAACCTATGTAAATTTACCTTAATGCCATTTGTGGGGCGCTAATTTGTTAGACATCATACGAAGTGTTGTGTGTGCATTTTTGCAAGATGTCATGAGAGTCACTGTACAAGGATACATTGTTTAAACATTAATCCTCCCAACAAAAGGTGGAGTGTTTGACCTAGTGAAAAAGATCTTTTGGGTTTGACCAGTATGCCATTTTACCTAGATATATTCCAGGTCACCTATTACATGCTGCAGATTTATGAGTACAGTTTGTTCTTGCATTTGGGGAGTGGTTTCCCAAAACAACAAACAAGTCTGTTCAAATCATAAGGTTAAAAAAAAGAGAAGTGACAAGGCAATATTTAGTTGTGGTGAATTTATCAAAGCCTTTCAATGCCCTCTCATCAGTTTAAATCCATCCTTTTTGTTTTACCTCTTGCTCAGCTTCACATTCAGTACAGCTCGAAGAGATGGGATGAGAAGCTTTACCTCTCCTGACACATCAATCCTCTTTTCACCACACACAAGCATCCAAACACACATCCAACAACCTTCCTGCTCTGGTTTTGTTGTTGTGCTTTCAGTTTTAACTGAGTGCCATGAGTGACACCTGCCAAAAAACATTAAGTGCAGAAAAATAGTGTTTTTATTATCATCACTAATTGGTTTAAGCTACATATCCTAAGCCCTAATAACACAGGACTGGTACTACCATGGAACTTCATGTGATTTAGAAATTACACAGGCAAATGTTCTGTGTAGAGTTTTGGTGAACTTTGATGGGTGAATTCAGACCACTGACAAATAGTAGACTTAAACCACTGTGACTGTGCTGACTCTTGAAGGGATGGAGAGCTGGAGAGTCCAAAATGGGGGAGGCTATCAAAGCTTATTTTGTATCAATCCACAGCAATGGTTATCAGACAATTATGGAGCTAAAGACACAAAAGACATATTTTGAATAAACTATGATCTTTTTGTTTGACTGAGCTAAGTTTGCTTACTGACATTAGCAAGCTTGTTAGTTTATTTTTCTATTTCAGTAGCTCTTTAATGAATTAAATTCTGGGGGTAAATAAATAATACTGTAGAGAGAAAATAAGGAGAAGCTCCAGGAGCTATTAAGACTGACTAGCATTACCTATCTGGCCAGCTAGCGAGCCAACAGTTAGCTTACTACTGAAGATTTTGTACATACAGGGATACAGGGATGCAAACAGAAAATGGTGAAAAAAGAGAGAAGGTTAAGAACCCCCTAGGGGGAACAGGGGAAAAAAACCCCAGGAAAAAATTTTTTTGAAATATCAGCTTTAAAGGTTGCATTTATAGTCAATTTCAGCATCAGACCTACAGATACTAAGGAAGCAGTGCTGACAAGAAAAACTTCTATTCTAAGACATCTAAGGGGCCTACTCAATAAGAGACTTAAGTTGTAAATTGTGTCCTCAAATGTACAATGTCCTCTCTTCAATACTGAAAAAAATATCCCATTTGTGGTAGACCTAATTGGTGGATCTTTCTTCTTACTTCTTACTTTGAACAGCATGGTAATGTAGGCTATTTAACAAGAAAAACGTATATGTGTTAAACAAGAGCCAGCCAACGAAAAAAGCGAATGTTTTTACCTCAGATGATCTTGACACTCGTACTCCGCGCTCAGAATCGGTCATTTCAGTCATCAGTCATCAAATTGTTTCAGCTGCGTCTTCGCGCGGCTCTATTGAAGACGTGGAATGGCCAATCATAACGCTTAAATGATACACATGCAGCACACGATGTGCCCTCGCGACAGATGCTGCTGACAGTTGTTTTTTTTCAGTTGTAGATTTGTTTTGCTCAGCGCAGTTCACTCATACAAGTGTGGTTCATTCTCACTGTCGCGATGCGGAAATGCGGGACGGATTTGCGGAATATTCGCGCAGAGCTTTTCCGCGCTCAAACCATACACACAGGCGCGGTACGGACGCAGTGCAGAATTTCGCGTTGTTGTGTTCCAAGTCCGCGCTGCGTGAACGGGTGTGGGTGAACATGGACGAGAGTAGCAGCAGCAGCAGCAGCGAGCTAGCAAGCAAGCGTCAACATCAACTTTCTTTAGCACTTACCACTCTCACCGCAGCCACCAATCTGGACAATGGACGGTGTCATCCCTATGTTTCCCGGGTTCTGTGTTCCCTGCTTACCACCCAAAAAGGGTTCTATGTTTCCCACTTGGTTGAGCGGGAAACATAGAACCTTTTTTGTGTAAGCGGGGAACATATAACCTTTTTTGCAGGGTTAAGTGGGGAACATAGAACCCGGGAAACATAGAACCCTGGAAACATAGAACCCTGGAAACATAGATACACTCCCCAATGGACTGCCAGACGTTGTCCTTTTATTCATTGTTCATAAAATCATCCCGTCTGTTATCAAAAAGGACAGGGTGCTGTGAAACGAGGTTTATCAACCTTTCTCCCATACTGTCCTGC